AGTCGCCAGCCGCCCCTCGCCCGTCACCCGCCTAAAGATCTTCGCGAATCATTCGCAGTCTGCCTACTCACCCCACTCCTCCACCTGGCAGCCAGTCCCAACTCGGCCCCAGGGTGGAAGCTACTGACTTTCCTCCCGCGAATTCTACTCCGCACCTCGTCAGCACACAAACCTGACTGGAGCGCGATGATGAACTGCCTCCTCCGTTTTCGCCAGGGATTCTGGTCTGGCCTGTATGACGAAGCAGTAGAGGCGATCTCCCTCCCAGCCCAGCCACGTCACGTACCTGACACACAAGGCATCCTTGCCAGAGCGGAGGGATTGGCTAAGCGTGGCAACCTCACCAAGTCTCTCCAGTCCCTCCAAGCTACACCGGTCTCACCCGCCTCCCCCGAAGTGCTCGCGGCCTTAGCAGCAAGACACCCGCAAGCACTCCAACATCTACCTGAGTGGATACGCAACTTCTCCCCCGAGAACACACCTGCGATTGAGCCACGCGATTTCAGGCGCATCATCGCCAAGCTCCCCAACGGGGTGGGAGCCGGGCCCTCGGGAACTACCTTCGAGCACATCCGGGACGCCGCGCTCGGAAACCCCGACATCTTTGCACATCTGCTAGCACTCACCAATACCGCCATAGCAGGGAAACTAAGTACCGAGGCTACAGAACTCCTCACAGCCTCGCGACTCCTGGCCTTCACGAAGCCGCAGGGGGGGACCCGACCGATAGCTGTGGGCGAATGTCTGCTGCGCATCATGGCCAAGGCAGCACTGTTTCTGAATGGGGCGGCGGCACGAGCACACTTCGCGCCTCTTCAGTTCGGGGTGGCGGTAGCTTGAGGGACCGAGGCAGCTATTCACACGGCGCGCACTTACCTGGAGGAGAACCCGGGCTCGGTGGCACTGCAGATTGACCTTGCCAACGCCTTCAACGCGGTGGAAAGGGCGGCGGTGTTCGAGGGGCTTAACAATGACGCCCTGGAAAGCCTAGTGCCCCTCGTCCGCCTCTCCTACGGGACCCCCTCCGCGCTCCAACTCGACCACGACTTCGGAGTGGCCCCACTGCTAAGCGCTAGAGGCGTCCGCCAGGGAGACCCCCTCGGTCCCCTACTCTTCGCGGCAAGCATTCACCCCTGCTTAACCGCCACGGCTTCAGCTCACCCTAGGGTCGTCATACTGGCCTACGCTGACGACATAACGCTGCTGGGCGAGGCCGAAGCGTGCACTGAGGCATTTTTGCACCTTACAGCCGCGCTGCTCCGCATAGGCCTTGAGCACAACCTAGGGAAATGCGAAGCCTGGTCCGCAGCTGCCATCGACCCCTCCACTCTCCCGCTAAGCTTCCCTATCGCAGCGGATGGACTGCGGGTCCTCGGAAGTCCAATCGGGACCCTCGCTGGCTGCGCCTCGAGAGTGAGGGAAAGATTAGCGGCAGCAGCAGAACCCTTGCCGCTCCTGTCCCAGATGGACCCCCAGCTGTGCCTGCTCCTACTCACCCGCTGTGTGGGCCGACGAGCCTCCTTTCTGGCCAGGACGACTCCACTAGCAGTGCTACCAGAAGATGAGTGGTCGGCGTGGGGGGAGCAGCTGCTACATACCTTCTTGGACGCGGCCCATATTGCAACACCGAGGAGCGACGCGGAGAGGAGGCGAATATGGAGGCAGGCGGCGCTGCCTGTAACACTGGGCGGGCTCGGCATTACCAATCCCGCAGTCGAAGGGAGCTATGCTTACCTTGCGTCAGTGGTGGGCACCTCCCACCTCCTGCGCTCCCTGGCTGACACTTTACACCCTGATGGTAGCCGCCCTCCTCCCCCTAATGGACCCCACCTCCGGCTCCATGCACGCCCTGCCAGCACGCCTCGCAGCAGCAGAAGCAGCCCCCCCCCCAGAGGCTCTAGAAGCCCTTCAGGCCGGGAAAGCAGACCCCCAAGGCCTCAACCTGCAGCAGTCTCTCGCGCTGGCGGTTCAGACACGCCGCTTCCTGAGGGTCATGAATGAAGCGAGGCGGATGCCCCCCGACCCCCTCTCTGGCCATGCCCAGCGGATGCAGTCGGTGCTCGGCCCTGGCGCAGGAGACTGGCTGCTGGTGCTACCCATCATACCCTCGCTCGGGATGGGACCCTCCCAGCTCTCTTCCGCCGCTACCTTCCGCCTAGGCCTCCCCCTACCTGTCCCCAGACGCTGTGACTGCCGTTACTGCACCAAGTTCCCGGACGACCGCCTCCCAAACCATCTCATGCGCTGCGAGAAAGGGGGGGGGGAGGATTACTACTCACCACGCACTCCGGGACGATATAGCCATGATAGCGGCAGAAGCGGGCTTCACGGTGCACAAGGAAACTTACGTATATTCTCTCGTTGAAAACCTAAAGGCGGATGTCACCATCTGTCATCCCCTGACGGGAGAAGTGTGGATGTGCGATGTGACAGTAACGGACCCCGTGTCCCACCAGGACGAGCATTGCAACAGGACCCCTGGGTGGGCGGCTAGGGTGGCTGCAGATAAGGAGCAGAAATACGCGCGCCGGAACGCGTGGGTGGGCTTCCACGCCCTGGCGGTCGAGACCTATGGGTACCCCTCGCCCGGGGTGATGGTGTTTTTGCGGCAATGTGCGGAGCTGGCGGCCAAGCTGAGATTCAACGCCGCTCCCACCTCCTACGAGGCCGCCAAGCTGCTGACGGAATACCGCCAGCGCTGGAGCGTGTGCCTCCAAAGAGCACAGGCCAACGCCCTCCGCTGCAAGACAAACAAGGCACTAGCAGCGGACGAGCTGGGCATGCGGGGGCCCTTTGCCCCCCTTAGTGAAGGCCAGCTCTACCAGCTGATTGAGCCCCCCGTTCGACCATTAGGGTCGGACGGAAGGGGGCGGGAGGGTGTAGGGGATAGGTGTTAGTTAGGAAGCCCGTTTGTTATGCTTGTGTTTGCTTCTTCCCGTGTACCACCCATCAATCAATACAAGTTCCATTCGGGAACCACAAATCAAACCGTATGCTTGTACCGCCGCTGAATTAATACAAAGGACCATTTGAGAGAGAGAGAGAGAGAGAGAGAGAGAGAGAGAGAGAGAGAGAGAGAGAGAGAGAGAGAGAGAGAGAGAGAGAGAGAGGCAACCATGTGGTGCAAGCACGTGGGTGCGAGCATGTGGGTGTGAGCAAAGCATGCACACTTCATGGATGCAGTCTGTTGTGTATTCGGATGCACACTTCAAGGATCGTACTCTGCGCTCACCCTCCATCCCACCCATTATTCTCTCTGCCAACCATGTTCTCTCCCCCAACCGTGCTGTCTCCCCCAACCATGCTCTCTCTGCCACATTCATTCATTAAACTCAACTCACACGAGCTTAAGTGCTGTGTGAGGAGACAGATACGGTGCCTCACAACACATTCCTCAAACAATCTCGCATCCCCACTGTCCGACCCTCCCTCCTACCCACCTCCCTTCCGTCACTATATCCTCATGCTTCCCTGTTCCTCTTTTCTTACCCTCTCAATCGCACGGAAGGTGAGAATGAGTGCAACATAGTAACTCGAAACCTCCCTTCACCCTCTGTCTTACCTGCACGAGAGCACGTGTCACAGAAGTCAGTGCAGGCACGGCAGAAGGCTGTGCCAGAGTACTGCTCCACCTCGCACTTCCCGTAACCGCATGGCGTCGCATCGTGATTGACATAACTGCCAGGCAGTGAAGACCAAGAAGGAGGAGGAAATGGGGGAGGAGGTGGGCGGCAGGAGCCGCCGGGGAAGGGTTTGGGAAGATAATAGGCCTTCTGTGATGGGAATATGACACGGCAAGCAGGCGTTAAGCAGAGGTTAGATGTCGAAGCTATCAAGAGGAGCAGCACCGGAGAATCGATGCAGCTTCGTGGTGAGGCAAGAGTGGCAATCACAGTAGGGAGGAGTTTAGAGGGCAGGCCCTACCGAGGACCTGAGGCCATGTGCGAATGAGATGCGGAAAAGAGGGTTGAAGAGGAAGGGGAGGAGAGGGGTGGCTGACAGGTACTGCAGATTGAGCACGGCGCCCATGGAGGCCGGGATGGAGCCCGTGAGTGTTGGTATGCGAAGGTCACTGCGTGGGGGTTGACCATCCATGGTGATGTGCATGGTGGCAAATGGAATGTTGCATGGTGGCATGTGTTAGGGTGCATGGTGGCATGGTGCAGCAAGGATGAACCATGGGAGGATGGTCACGGGGAGAGGTGCGATTAGCAGGAGAAGAGGGTGATGCAAGGGGCAAATGAGACCATGCAGTGAGAAAGGGTGAGTGAGAGGCATGAAGAACATTAAATTCATGCAACTGGGGCTGGCCTTGACGGTCAAGGAAGAAAGGAGTAGAGACGCCTTTCGAGTTTTGAGATGCGCGTAAAGTTTTCAGGGTTATTTTGCACACGGTACACATGCATTTTGAGGACAGGACGCATGAGGTCCCATCTTGTATTTGCCAAGTCAGGATTACAGGCGAAGGAGATGTTGCATTTCAGTGATGGCGGTAGGAATGTTGCCGGTTAGCAATGTGTAGCTTAGATCACTGGAGGAAGCGAGAATTGGGGACGAGGGCGAGGGAGGGAGAAAAGGAGGGAGGGGAAATAAGGTGAAGATGACATTTTGTCCTTTTCAAACTGCACTGCTGCCATCAGTATTCAACACAGGAGCACGGGTATTCAGAAACGCTCTAGAAAGCCCTTGAAACTGCGCTGTCACCAGCACCACACAGCTGGAGGGTATGGAGAGTCCCGTGCTGACCGGGTATTCAACACAGGAGCACCATGCAGCTTGAGGGTATGGAGAGTAACCGTGGATTACCTGCTGGACTCCCTCATGCTGGTACCTACCAACACACGGGGGCTGCCCCACATGTCTCCTCATGTCTCCTCATTCAGGACTTGGCCACGTTTCTCACTCAACATGACTTTCTGCAGAATATAGTACTCTGGTTTGAGTGAAACACACAGGTGCATGTGTGAGTGAAGTGCACAGGTGTGCGAGAGGAGGCATACAGGTAGGTGAGGGAAGTGAGAGAGGTGATGGAGGCAGGGATGCTGCCTGTGATGTTATTGTGGCCCAGCCTCCTGTGAAGATATGGGTGGTGGGGGAAGGGAGGGGAGGAGATGAGGTGGTTTGGAAAGACGGATGGTGGGGGAGGGGAGGGGCGGAGGCGGGGTGGAAACCTGGATGCACACAGACAGACAATCACTGTGCACATGGGTGCATGTGGGCACCATGCAGAGGTACCAAGACGTGTTAACATCGCAGGCGCACTGATGTTGACCGATACATGCCCATGCACTCACATGCTCACATGCTCACGTGATGTCACGCTCGCAGCTCTAATGAGCTGCATAACAAGTAACTTATGCTGTCGCATGCACTCATGCGCTCACATATGCTCCACTTGCACCCGGATGAAAGTTGAGATGCCGTCTGAAAATCTGTTGTTGCTCAGATCCCTGACGTTGCCAAGGGAGGGAGTCACGTGGGCGATACAAACGGATGGAGGAGATGGGAAGAAGGGGATGTTGTATGGCCCTCAGGCCCTTGGACAATCGATATCCACGGATTGTTTCACTCTCCTTCCCATGTTCACACACAGCTGTCCCTGTCATCGTCACTCCATACCATACCCACATACTCCACAATCATCCCATACTAACACATACCTCACAGTCACTCCATACCCTCGCACTTCCTTTCCCAATGTCATTCGTGCCAACAGTGCACTCCAGAACTAGGAAAGGCTTTTTGGGGTCTTCAAAGCGTTTGGGAGTGCAGAAGCTAAGATAAGATAAGCTTTTCAAGGCGCCTCAGTGCGGGGCACTCGTGCACTGAAAATAATCGTTGTCCAAGTACCCCCACTCGCTTCACAACGCAACGCACCAGTTGGGTCTCTGAGAAATTCTGACCGCATCTACCCTACAGACCACTGCTCCCATGCGCATCCATGCTGCAAGTGTCTCTAGCATGCGTGTTCCCGTGCATGCACACACTAGAGAGGCCAGTGGGCTTGCATGCACCACCTACAGCTTACGTGCCTCATGATTCATGCCTCTCTGCTTGCTGAGGCATGCTGTAAACATCACATCGAGTACCGGAGCACAACTCACAAAAATGATAAGGATTCCATAGCACTCAAACTTCGAGGGATAGGAGATTCCAATGCGTTGCTGCCAAGACTCCTGGCAGATAACCAAGGGGAACAGGGCGGAAAGAAGGAAGGAGAGGAAAAAATGACGAGGGAAACGGAGGAAGGGGAAGGAGGAGGGAGGCGCAAGAGGAGGGCAACTGCTCCACCAGGGCTGGTCGGTTGCTGGTCCGTTCCGTCAGCACTTGTCGGTTGCTTTGCAGCGGGGGCAAGCAGTGAGCTATCTCACCAAGCTGAACATGACCGCCCAGTTTGAAAACCCGCCGGTGGGAGGCCCGGACTGGGCCCTTTTCCCAGGGTGTGATGAGGCGATTTTTGAGTCGACTCAAAAATCGCCTCATCAGCCACCGGTGGGAGGCCCGGACTGGGCACTTTTCCCAGGGTACTGCTTTGCTACTCTGGAGTCAGGCTTGGAAGGAACTCACGAGAAAGAAGATTGTGCTCGACATGTCTCAAAAACAATCTTCTTTCACGTGTCAACCCTCGAGCCAGGCCTGGAACTCCAGTAGTGACGAAGATAGAAGTGACATTAGTGATGACTCTGTCGAGAGAACTTTGTAGCTAGGAATTTGGGTTTAGCGAAAGTGGGAAAATTATCGAGGAGGGGTTGCATTGAAAGAAGCGAGGAAGAAATACAAGAAAGCACTCAATGAAGGAAGTACACCACCAACAGGGGTTACACTACACTACAATCTAAGCTATATATATATAACATATATATTTGACACACCCAAAAAACAGCCTACAGCATAGACTAGACATGAGCAACGGGCGATCTCAAACATGTTTGCGGCGAACCTTCACAAACAGGCGGGTGTCGCTGGCGCTGGCACGACTCCAGAAGGTGCTGCAGCAGCGAGGTCGGCAGGACGGACAACGAGGCAGCGCGATGAGGCAGCGCGACGAGGCAGTGCGATGAGGCAGCGCGATGAGGCAGCACGACAGGGCGGCCAACGAGCAGCGCGACGGGCAGGCGAGGGGGGGACAGGGCTCGCCATCGTGGCGACGGGTACAGCGAGCAAGCCGCACGTCGTCGGGAGGGGTGGCCGCCATGGCTGATAAAAAAATAGGTCTCTGGACGCAGGCCTCCCTCCCAACCAACCTCGGGGGGCTTGGCATGATGGAACCGGCCACAGATCCAGCCGCACGCCCTTGGCCGAGCCTCATAACAGCACAGCCTTGTTGCTGTCGAGGCCGGTTCACCCTCAGGGGCCATCCGTATGTCTCACGTGAATGAGAAGCGACCCTCAGGACTTAGAGAAGTAAGGAGAACGCTGCACCTTAACTGGGGACCTTGCCAGAGACCTCCCCAAAGGGACCCAGGAGAACCGACATCCACCATCGCCTCCACGACAAGTGATGCCGCAAGGTGATTGAGTAGGGATTCACCATCATGAGGAGACAAACCAGTTCACCTTTCTGGCGAACCCGATGAATGACCTCTCCAGTCCATACGCCACCGACTCCGGAGAAGTCTGCCTATGCGGCTTTGACCGTCACCAACCCGTCACCAGCCAAGACACGCTCACTGGAAAGAAAACCCGTGGGCTGCAACTGGAGCAACCCAGTCCAAAGAGAGTTCGCACCGCCCCCCTGTCCGCCAGAGGTAGGTGGGTTTCTTTGCCATGGAGGTTGAGACATATGGCTGCAACGCACCTGGGGCCCTCGCCTCCATGCGCCTGGGTGCTTGATGCACCTGGCGCCCAGGCACATCAAACACCCAGGCGCATCAAACACTGGCAGAGGTGGTTGGTGGCACTACAACATTGGCCCCTCGCGTGCGTGGCCGTGGCGGCAGGAGCACGTGGCCCTGGCGGCACAGCACAAGCCCATGGACGCCCTGACCAGAACCCTGCAGCTTGGGGATTCACTGCACCACGTGCTCCACCCTGAGCTGCCCTAGAGGTCCCTAGTCGCCGCGGCTGTATGCCTCGCCACGTACCTGCATGTTTCGCCGTTGATTGATTGAAAGGAAGGACCGTTCTAAAAAGGAGGAGAGGGTGGGCGTGCAAAGAGGAAAGACCATTTATTATAAAGACTCATCTGTGCAGGGAGTTGGGGACATGCAGGGGGATGAAGGCATGCTGGGAGGGGAGGGGAGGGGAGGGCGCATAGCGAGGGAAGCACATACAGAGCTGTAAGGCTGTTGAGACCCGAGATGGAAGGGGGGATGACGCCTGACAGGTTGTTGTTTGAGAGATCGCTGAAGAGAGGGACCGTTGGCGTGGGCGAGAGAGGGCGACAGGCAATGAGTGGGGGGACGAACAGACGAAGTGTGCATCCAACCTTGGGACAGCAGGCAGGAGACAGCAGCTTCTGCCGCAGCAGCGTCACTGGACCTGAATCCCTCACAAGCCACAGAGCATACCTGCCACTCCCATATTGCAGTGCGCCACTGGCATTGCATTGCAGTGGCAGACAGTGCTCCCACCGGCACATCGCACTCTCTCTCACGCACAATGCATGGATCGTATGGCTCACAGGGTTTCTACGTAGATGGCTTTCATTGGTACGCCGTCTCAACACTATCATCAAGACAACATCTTTGCGTCTATCCGATTATCTCCAGGTGACCTACAAGTCTCGAACTTCACCCAAAGCCGCTTGGACGTTAAGTCTCTGTTTTTTTTTTTTTTCCTCAGAAAACAGTTTCGGCATGCGGACGAAGAGAGAAAAGTGTAAAATGAAGGACGTAGAGAGATATCACATGTGTGGAGATGATGAAGCGGAGATCCCGTACGGGTTGCTTGCTCTAGAAATGAAGGCGTAGAATTCCATATGCTTGTACTCACCTTGTGATGCGGTCTCGATGCTCCTAGGCTCATCATCAACTAACGGAGCTCTTGAGTGGAGGAGAGTGCAGGGAGGAAAGCACAGACCGAGATGAGAACAAGCAAGGAGGTGCAGACGTGCAGGGAGGAAAGGACGTGCAGAGAGGCAGAGAGGAAAGGGCCCATGTACGGAGGGGAGGGGAGGGGGGCACATACAGAGTCTGGAGAGAGAAGAGGCTCGAGATGAAAGTGGGGATAGTGCCTGTAAGGTTGTTGTTTGAAATGAGCCTGGACCATCCAGGTGAACCATGCAGGTGGACAAAAAGGTGGACAGAGAGAGGGCAGGGCACAGAGTTGATGAATCCACGAGATAATGATCAAGATTTGAGACGCCCCAAAAGCAAGATGAAAGGGAGGATAGTGCCTGGAAGGTTGTTGCTTGAAAGCTGCCTGAAGGGGTGTGCCTTTCAGGTGGGCGACAGAGTGCGGCAGAGGCCCGCAGAGGGCGAAAGAGGGCGACAGAGGCCGGCAGGGGGCGACAGAAGGCACTGAGTGAGGGGAAAGATGGCAGAAATCAGCAGCTTTTGGAGCAGTGGCTTCTATAGACCCTAAATCCTCACAACCGCAGAGCCTACCTGCCACTCCCAAATCGCAGTGTGCCACAGGCTTGCATTGCAGTGGCAGACAGTGCTCCCACCTGCAGATCGCACTCTCCCTCACACGCACTGCATCTGCATGGATTGTAAAGCTCACAGGTATTCCAAGTGGACGAGGTCCCTCAGGGCGGCAGGGATCGGGCCGATTATGGCGTTGTTGGATAGCTCCCTGGGTGATGTGCGGTGCAAACGGATGCAGTGCAATGGGGAGAGGGAGGGGGGGGGGGAGAGATGGTGGGGAAGAGTGGAAGGTAGAGGGATTAAGTGGGAGCAAGGAAAGGAGGATTTGTTGGGGAGGGAGGGGAGGTTCAGGGATGTGAACGAATGAGAGGAAGGCGGGGAGGGAGAGAGGTGTATGGGAGAGCATGGGTGGGTGGATGGAGAGAAGGGGTGGTTTCACACAGGCCCTGCAGATTGGTCAGTCGGGAGAGGTCGTCGAGGCTGCCAGTGAGAGAGTTGTGAGAAAGGGAACTGGAGGGCAGATGGGGCGAGGAGAGAGGGGTAGGTGTGATGAGTGGGGCAGGAAGAGATTGGTGCATGTGAGACGTGGTGAGAGGGGCAGGCGTTGGGTGAGAGGGGCAGGCGTTGGGTGAGAGGGGCAGGCGTTGGGTGAGAGGGGCAGGCGTTGGGTGAGAGGGGCAGGCGTTGGGTGAGAGGGGCAGGTGTTGGGTGAGAGGGGCAGGCGTTGGGTGGGAAGGGCAGGCGTTGGGTGGGAGGGGTAGGAGAAATGAATGTGAGGTGTGGTGCGGTGCGGTGAGTTGTGGTGGGGCGTGCACCAGAAGAGCAGTGTGAGTTTGAGAAATCTCTAAGGAGACTTGAATACATGCAGTGATGCGCAGCAATGCACGTGCTTAAGAGATGCAACGTTTTCAAGACCATTTTCATGATTTTCAAAGGCCACCAGCAACGTTGCATGCGTGTGGCAACATGGAAGAGTGAATCGTGCAGCTAGGGTCTCTTTCGTACAGCCATGAGAGCTTCTGCAGCAGAGCAATGGTGCTTGGAATGGATCCCTCAAGCTTGTTGTCGTTCAGGTAGCTGGATTCGTAAGGTGGGATGGGGTGAATGGCACGGCATGGCATGGAGTTATTTAGATATCTCAGAACACCACAACAGGAGGAAGCTATGTACTGTGCACACTGAGGGTTGTTGCGAATTCCCAAAACTCCCACATTTGGACGGCCAGCATAGTAACCACCTCTCTCGCTATCTCGTGAGAACATCCATGTGGTTAACACTGATCTGCACCTTTCTCACTACCCCCTCCGTACACACTCACTCGCTCGTCCCCTTCTCTCCCTCCCTCCCCCACTCCCTCACAGGTCACAGAGGTTCGTCAAGGCGCCTATAGAAGTGGGTATGGCTCCTGACAGCGTGTTCTTGCCAAGCATGCTGGGCGAGGAGGAAGAGGGTTCAGAAGAGAGGAGAGACGGGACGTAGAGGTATGTGTGACGCGGAAAGCGGTATAGAAAGAAGGAGAGTGGTAACGAGAAATTTGAGTGGAGAGGTGGCATGGGGTGGGATGGCATGGCATGCACAGCACATCATGGATTGGAAGGCATGGAAGGGCGCGCCACAACATTGTTCAACAGCAGTTCAAACCTTCAATGGGCGCAACACACGGCAGATAACCATCTCGACATGAGGTGTAATGTAATGCTTGTTACAGATGAGTGCTTCCTAACATCTTTTTTAAAACGCCACCTTTAACCAACGTTTACCACTCCCTAACAATTGAGGTTGTGGACTTCTCCGGACAGCATGACAATAGGAAGCTATGTGTGCGGAACGGAACGATACCACGACTAGATGGTTGCGATTACTCAAGACTCTCACGTGAGGATGGGCGATGTGGTAACCACCTCTCCCTCTATCTCTCGTGAAGACATCCACATGGTTACCACTCATCTGCACCTCTCTCGCTACACCTTCCTTGCACACTCAGTCGCTCTCCCCCCTCCTTCCCTCCCTCACAGGACAGTGAGGTTGGTCAAGGCGCCTATAGAAGTGGGTATGGCTCCGGTCAGCTTGTTGTTGAATAGCGCACTGGGCGAGGGATCAGAAGAAGAAGGGGTCAGAACAGAGGAGAGACGAAGGGTGGGGGCGGGGGTGTATTGGGGTAAGCGGTATGGAGAGTTAGAGTGTGGAAAAGAGCAGTAGAGAGATGTGAGTGAACAGTGAGTAAGTGTTTGTACAGTGTGAAGAAGTAAGTGTGGACACACAAGGAGGAGCAATGAAAGTAAGAGCAAGGATGCAGCATGGAACCAAAAATGGAGAAGGTAAATTGTGGGAGGAGGAGAGAATGAAGGGGAAAGGAGAGAATGGGGAAGAAAGGAAGGGAGAAAAGTGCAGTGCAGTGCAGTGTGGTGCGGTGCGGTGCTCACAGTTTCTCTAAAGCAACGAGGTTGGCAATGTCAGCAGGAATGGAGCCTGAGAGCTGGTTGTCATAGAGCATGCTGGGGGGCGGTCAGGCAACGGCAGCCAGCAGGGAGGAAGGGAGGAAGGGAGGGAGGGAGGAAGGGAAAGAGGGAGGGAAAATAGAATCTGGGTGAGGGCTTGGGGAGATAAGACAGGTCGATGCTCATGGAAGGAAATATATGATAGCGGTTCTGGTGGCTACGACTTGACAGGTGAGTGTGTGGGAACACTGACAGGGCGTAAAGTTTAGTGAAGGGAGAGGGAAAGGCAGGGATTGGCCCTTCCAGCTTGTTGTTGCCCATGGACCTGAGAGCAGCACGCAGCACGCAGCACGGAGTAAACGCAATCACACACTAGCTGTGTGGAAAATAACTCTTGCTTGAGTGAAGGAAAAGCCAAAACAGTGCCAAGCGGTTGCTTCTCTCTACGCAGGCAGACATGTGTGCAGGAGGGAGAGTGATGCACAGTTGTGGCGTGAGCCTGAGGGAAGGGTAGGAATGGGCTGTGAGGCAGGGAGCGCGTGGGAGGGGGCGAGCGACTGACAGGTAGATCAGGTTGGTGAGGGCACTCAGGGAGTCAGGGATGGTGCCTCCCAGCCTGTTGTTCTCCAGGTCCCTGTGATGGGCGCATTCAGAGGACCAAGGCGATTCCTGAGTTTACAGTCGACAACGACTGGAATGGAAAGGTAAAGAGCAGAAAAGGTGAGAGCAGGGGATGAGAGAGAGGTTGCATGTGAGGTGTGGAGGGCACAAGGAATGAGAAATCATGGGGAATGTGAGAGCATATGCATGCATGCATGCATGAATGAAGCATTGAAAGAAAATGTCAGGGACTGGCTGGGACAGGGAGAGGGAGGTGGTTCCACTGACAGGCCCTCAAGCTGAACCAAGTTGCCCATTCCCGCGGGAATGCTTTCCGTGAGCATGTTGTGAGGCATGGCATGGGAGTGAGACATGGCATGGGATTGAGGAATAAGCTGCCTGGTTGCCTATGACTGCTTGGTTGACAATGATTGGCACACTTACATAGTTTCGAGGGATGTAAGGGTACTTATGGTGGGAGGAATGTCACCAGACAGCTGGTTGTTGGAGAGACCCCTGTGACGGGGAACATGCGGGACAGGGGAGATGGGAAGTAATTGGGACGTTGGCATGACACGTGGGGGGAATGGTGACAGCATGGGAGGGAGGCATGGCAAGGGAGGGAGGCATGGATTGCTTGGTGATGATGGCTGCTTGGTGGCCAACGGCTTGCATACTCACAGCTCTTGGAGGGCCGTGAGGGCGCTTATGAGGGCTAATCACTATCTACGTGAGGACCAAAGCAGGCACACACCCAACCCAAGGCAACATTGCCCTTCCATGCAGCGATCACTACAAATTGCTGGGTCGTCTATGGTTCTTGAGGCGCGTCAGAAATCGTTTCAGCTCACGAGTTTCTTACGTGGGTAACGATTCGATTGCATGAAGGTGCGCACGTAACTTGCAAGATTCATTTGTGGGCGATGCATGGCTTTTTAACGCTCCCGATGAAGACGCTTGATATTGTCATACCAGTAGGAGAGGTTTGGAGTTCGAATTGAGTCTCCAACTCCCTTTACGAGTTGCACCATGATTTCTTTTAGTGAAGCAGCTTTTGCCATTGAATTTGTTTCAGCTAACTTTGTCTTATACTTCCCTTCTTTCAAGCTCAAGCGCTCTTTCAAGTTGCCTACAGTTGCTGCCCCTCCAAGCATGATTGACAATGCCTATGTTGCTCGGTCGTCTATGGCTGCTTGTTTGCCAATGACTGGCACACTCACAGGTAACAAAGGGATGTGAGGGCGCCTATGCCAGGGGGAATGGCACCAGACAGCTGGTTGTAGGAGAAATGGCTGCGACGAGGGACATGCAGGCCAGTTGAGATGGGGAGTGTTTGGGACGTTGTCATGACACGTGGGGGGTATGGCGACACAATGGGAGTGAGACATGGCATGAGAGTCAGACATGGCATGAGAGTCAGACATGGCATGGGAGTGAGACATGGCATGAGAGTCAGACATGGCACGGGAGGGAGGCATGGGTTGCTCAGTGACAATGGTTGCTTGGTTGCCAATGACCGGCACACTCACAGCTCTTGGAGGGCCGTGCAGGCGCTTATGTCAGGAGGAATGGCATCAGACAGCCAGTTGTAAGAGAGATCGCTGCAATGGGGACATGCGGGCCAGGGGAGATGGAGGGTCGTGGAGAATTGGCAAGAGAAGATGCTGCACAGTCCGATGCTGTGCTACCCAGAATCGTGTTGCTCAATGCTAGACTGCCCCATGGTACATGGCCCACTGCTGGACTGCCAAATTCTGTGCTTCCCCATGCACAATGCTTCGCAGCCCCAATACTGCGTTGCTGAACAATGCACTGTTCATTGGTTCATTACCAATGCTGCACTACCCATGATGCATTGCACACTCTTGCCTTGGCCAATGCTGCGATGATTAGTGTGTCAGTGTTAGCCCTCAATCTCTCAATTTGTACTTTTACTTTTTATATCATAGTTTAGTGTACTTTGCACTTCGTGTTTGGTTAGGTGTACACCCACATCCCAACCAATCCCTAGAGATTGCCCCCGATACCCTCCCCATCCATCCCTTGCTCATCCTGGATGTACTTAAAGAGCTTCAAGCTCAATACTAATGTATGGATTCTAAGCTCAAGTTCTGACACAATGCTGTGCTATCCAGTGCTGTGTTGACCACAGTTGCACTACTTAATGCTGCATTGCCCACACCAAGGGCTTTCAGATTAAGACACGTAAGGAATGCAGAAGAGTGGGACAAAGACAGTCACACTCCTAGCGCACATTTGCACTGCCCCGTACAACACAGGAGCGGGTCAGTCCTCAATTCCCAGGTCAGAAAGGGTAGATACCAATGCAAGAATGCACGAAATGAAGGAGAGAGAAGGAAACAACAGGGGTGAAGTGAGGGACGGAGAAATATGAAACCGCACGGGAATAATGAGGAAATGAAGGCCCCATAAGGCAGAGGACAGAGGGCAGCGGGCAGAGGGCAGGGGGAAGGGGGCAGACGGCTGACCCCTCCCTCCCCCCCTCCCTCCCTCCCCCCCTTCCCCAACTCCCCCCCTCCCTCCCTCCCCCCCTCCCTCCCTCCCACCCTCCCTCCCTCCCCCCCTCCCTCCCTCCCGTCCTCCCTCCTTCCCCCCCTCCCTCCCTCCCTCCCTCCCCCCCTCCCTCCCTCCCTCCCTCCCTCCCTCCCTCCCTCCCTCCCTCCCTCCCTCCCTCCCTCTCAGCCTCCCATCATCCCTCTCTTACAGGTAGACAAGCGAGGCGAGCGCACTGAAGGATGCCGGGATGGGGCCATCTAGGGCGTTGTGACGCAGATTTCTGAGCGAGTTGCAGCACAGCACACAGAAAGTGAGGATCAAAGAAACAGGCGGTGAGAATGCGCCAAGGGGTGGATACGGCTGGGAAGGATGTGGATGCGCACATAGGATGACAGCACAGAGGGTGTGGGATGGGGCAATTAGTGGGGACGGAGTACAGAGGACAGAGGCAGGGAGGAATACCGCTGGTGAGGAGCCTGAAAAGGGTTGCAGCATAGGTCGCAGCACAGCAGAGAGGGGGTCAGGCGTGAGAAATAAAGAGATGGAGAATGGGGTGAGACACGATAAATAAAGAGACGGATGAAGAGATACCCTTTTTACCCTCTGAGTGCTTCGTCCCCCCCAAGGTGTTTCGGGGGAGAAGGATGAGGAGTGCCTGGAAAAGGCTACCGCAGGACAGGAAAGCACACACACAGGGTCCCCTAGATGTGTGATACAGACGTAGCCTCGAGATGCCTCAAAGATCACACAGCGGGTATGTGTGAAAGCGTACGGAGCCACGTAGAGTGGTAAAAGAGGTTAGAGAGTGGTAAAGGCATGAAGGCCATACAAAATGCTTGCACGTCTCGCTTTGGAGCGGCATAGGGCTATACAGAGTAGTGAGGGAAGTGCACCGACAGCTGAGAGGCGTTTATAAAGCTGCGAGATGTACAGGCAGGTGAGAGAGGTGAGAGTGCCAAGCGCTGTTGGGATGGATCCAGATAGAACTAGCAATTCAGTCAACCTGTTGTGTTGTGTTGAGCACACACAGGCACACATGCACACACACAAGCAAGCACACACACAGGCACACACCCGCACGGTCACACGCACGCACGCGCGGGCACACACGAACAGGCACAGAAGCAGCAGAAGAGTGAAGCACAGCTACAGCACAGTGACGAAATGTCAGTGGCCATTGTGGCCCACCGCGCCCTCCCCTGGGTGTCGCAGACCCCCCTCCCTCCCTCCCTCCCTCCCTCTCTCCCTCCCTCCCTCCCTCCCTCCCTCCCTCCCTCCCTCCCTCCCTCCCTCCCTCCCTCCCTCTCTCCCTCCCTCCCTCCCCCCCTCCCTCCCTCCCTCCCTCCTCTCTCCGCATCCGCTCTCCCCACATCTCCCCCTTCCTACCCGTAATTATCAGACTGATCAGGGATGGCCGAGTTGTCGATCCACATTTCAGTGATGAGCCCGTTATTGTCGCATTTAATTAAATCCGCCGCGCCACAGTCTCCCCCCACCCGCCAATCGGGCGGCGGAAACACGTTTGCGCCATTGCCCCACGAGTAAGAGCCCCATGCTGCAGCGCACTCCTCCAGCACCCGCGCTGCCAGGGGCTCGTGTGGAACGGGGGAGGCAGGGGACAGGCAGGGGGCAGGGTGGGGAGCCGGAAGGGGGAGGGAAGGCCGAAGCAGGGGGGAGAGGAGGAGGAGCGAGGGATGATGCAGAAGGGACTTCCTAAGGGAGGTAGGGGGAAGGGAGGATGAAGGTGGGGGGTGAGTTTTGTACTGAACGAGCAGTGTGCATGTTCATTGGGGTGTGGACGAAGCCAGAACAGAGGAATAGCAGCGAGGGAGCATAGCAGCGAGGGCTTGAAACAGCTTGGTATATGTTCGCTGTGGATGGGGTACAGCGGGTACGAGGGGGAGAGTTGGAGAGAGCAGGAGGGAAAGGAGGAAGTTTGGTAGAGTGGGGTAGAGTGAGGTAGAGCTGGGGAAAGTGAGAGGCGAGGAGAGGTGCAGGGGGGAGGAGCGAGCGACCTTGGGCGTCGTTGATGCGAATGGCGGCAGCAGGGCACGGCAACAACAGAAGCAGCCCCGCCAGCAGCAGCAGCGGCAGGCGAAGGTGCAGCAGCGGCGGAAGGAAGGAGAAGCTGCGGTGGTCGCCCATGACTCTCCAGACGGAAAGAAGGCAAGCAAGACGTGCCTAGTAAGCTGAGCAACGAGTGGTGAGGGTGGACTCGTGCAGAGCAGACGGCTGCTGCGATGGAGTCACTCGGTGTGTCACTTCTGAGAATTCTCGAAGCAGCTTTCACGGCTGCTTTGCCGCCGCCTAGGGAAGGCTTAGTCTGCGTTTCCAAGATTTGCACTCAATCGAAACTTGACTGCGCGAAACGCCTTGGCGGACACAGAATCAACACACTAGACAGATTCAGCTTGGTGGGTCACAGCTAAACCATGTCGCTGTCGCTTGCACTGTTTGCAAAGGCTATACGAGCGTGTTTGTTTGCCAAGGCGCTAAAGAGGACACAGCGCGAACGGCAGCCTCCACAGTGGACGACGAAGGTTGCCGGGGGCGCCGCGCCAATTTCGGACCTTTCAAGTCTGGTGGCGGCCATGACTCAGCGCGGCCCGACGTCGGGACGACGACGACGACCAGTGCGGTCATCGTCGGACGACGGGGCGACAGTGCCGGGCGACGCTGCTCAAGGGACTGGGATGGGAAGCGACTGAGATGGACTTGACTTGCCACGGTAGCCATATGATGAGACGCATAATGATGGTGCCTCGTGTGGAAAATGGTGAGTCGATGAGCAGCAAAGTGTCGTTTCTGCTGCCGCGATCGTGCGTGAGTGTGACGTGGCGAGAGCTCCTTCTTCATGGGTAAGCTCGCAACTTCGCGTGATGCATCGGCAGCCAACATGACTGTTGAGTCATGATGACGATGGCAGGCCCCTCACTCTAGGAAAATCATTCATTCCAGCTCGACACCTAATTGTATCATCTTGCCTTTTCTTTCCCGTGCACGGGTGTAGTAGTAGTCGTACCCAACCATGCATTCGCTACTTTCCTGCTCAGCTTCGAACACTGAGAGGCCATCCTTGCTATCGCACTGAAGGAAAAGCTGCAGATCATCTAGCCAGACCTCAAAGTCAACAGCTCGACCCTCAGCATCAAAGGTAAGAACATTGAGACTAGCCATGACAGGAGCAGCAGCAGGCTAGCAGCAGCAGCGCGGCTCGCTCTTACCAGTGACAAGGCAGGGGCAGGTCCGGGGCAGGGCCGAGGCAGAGCCGGGGCAGGGCCAGGGCAGGGGGCAGGGCCGGGGCAGGGCCGGGGCAGAGCCGGGGCAGGGCCGGGGCAGGGGGCAGGGCCGGGGCAGGGCCGAGGCAGGATGCAGGGTCGGGGCAGGGGGCAGGGCCGAGGCAGAGCCGGGGCAGGGCCTGGGCAGGGGGCAGGGCCGGGGCAGGGCCGAGGCAGGATGCAGGGCCGGGGCAGGGGGCAGGGCCGAGGCAGAGGCGGGGCAGAGCCGAGGCAGGATGCAGGGCCAAGGCAGGATGCAGGGCCGGGGCAGGGCCGGGGCAGAATGCAGGGCCGGGGCAGGGCCGGGGCAGGGCCTGGGCAGGGCCGGGGCAGGGTCGGAGCAGGGCCGGGACAGGGCCGGGGCGAGGCCGCGACAGGGCCGGGGCAGGGTCGGGGCCGGGCCGCGGCAGTGCAGGAGCAGGGCCGGGGCAGGGCTGAGACAGGGTCGGGCGAGGGCCGGGGCAGAGCTGCGACAGAGCCGCAGCAGGGCCGGCTGGGCCTGAAGGGGCCTCTAACGGGGCCTGACGGGGCCGTACGGGGCCTCTAACGGGGCCTGACGGGGCCGTACGGGGCCTTTAACGGGGCCTACGAGGCCTCTAACGGGGCCTGACGGGGCCTTACGGGGCCTTAAACGGGGCCAAACGGGGCCTGACGGGGCCTCACGGGGCCTCTAACGGGGCCTGACGGGGCCGTACGGGGCCTCTAACGGGGCCTGACGGCGCCTTACGGGGCCTCTAACGGGGCCGGAAGGGGCCTTACGGGGCCTTAAACGGGGCCAAACGGGGCCTTACGGGGCCTCTAACGGGGCCTGACGGGGCCGTACGGGGCCTCTAACGAGGCCTGACGGGGCCTTACGAGGCCTCTAACGGGGCCGAAAGGGGCCTTACGGGGCCTTAAACGGGGCCAAACGGGGCCTGACGGGGCCTTACGGGGCCTCTAACGGGGCCTCTAACGGGGCCTGACGGGGCCGTACGGAGCCTCTAACGGGGCCTGACGGGGCCTTACGGGGCCTTAAACGGGGCCAAACGGGGCCTGACGGGGCCTTACGGGGCCTTACGGGGCCTTAAAAGGGGCCGTAAATGGGGCCTTAAGGGGCCTTACGGGGCTTAACGGGGCCTTACGGGGCCTTACGTGGCGGGCGCTGGCTCTGAGGGCAGGCGCAGGGGCCGCGACGGGCCTCGAAGGGAAGGCGCGACGCGCGCGTCAAGTAGGCAGTGACAAATTTCAGTGGTGGGCCCTTTTAAAAATTCTCGAAACTAGCTCTATACCATGTGAGAATGATAGACGAAAAGAAAAAATGAATGAACTAGGAATGGGATGGGTACAAATAGAAAACACATAAGTGTTGTACCCTCTAAGAGCTACCCCACTATAGCCTAAATAGACCATAGCAGATATAAGTTTGACAGTTGTGATTCACCCTGAGCTTGCTTTGCACTTCCTACCTGGCCTTGTGACCCTCTGTTCTCCCCCACTTTGCCTATGGGGGTGTGTCAAACATATGTTTATATGTTGTAGTTTAGATAGGCTTTAGTGGGGTACTCACTGTGGGGTACAACCCCTTAGGTTTCATTTTTGTACCAACACTCTCGACATTCAATACCAACTTTGCCTAGGATTCTAACAGAGGGGTGGGATCGTTTTTTGTTAATCAGCGGATACGTCGGTATCGGCATCTTCTCGCGTGGTGCGTCGCGCCACCATGACTCCACACCGTCGTCGTCCTCGGCATTTGCACTACGATCTGGGAACACGTCCTCCTCGGCGCCCGCTTCACCGTCGCCGACACCGTCGCCGTCGCCGCTGTTTTGTTTATCAGCGGCCACGTCATCATCGGCGCCCACAGCCGACTCGTCCCACGTGCAGGCTTCGGGCTGTCCCCACCGTGGTGCAGGCGGCGGAGCCTGGATGAAGACATCAGGGGCCTTGGGTGTGTCCGGTTCAGACAGCCACTCGTCGAAAGTGGCCGGTAAATACAGCTGGAGCACGGGCCGTTGGTGAGCACTGGCACCGATATCAGGCGGATTCGGAGGAGCGGGAGGTGCGGGAGGAGCAGGAGGAGCAGGAGGTGCTGGAGGAGCAGGAGGAGCAGGGGGCGCTGGGGGTTCAGGTGGCACTGGAGGCGCTGCGGGCTCACGGGTATACCACCCGTCGTCGGTAAGTCGCCATGGGCGAGCTCTCTTGTTCTTGAAGATGAAGTGCGTCCCGCTGAATTCTGCCATGGCTTCGCCAGCCAGGCGGCCTACACTGAAATCTGAATGAAAAAAAATGAAAGAGACGGTGCACAAATTGGCAACGAAGGGGACCCCGTAAGGTTGGCGCCTCGGGGTCCTCGTCAATGACAGGCGGGAAACCCCCGCCTATCCCCGTAGAGGACCCTGCGTGGCAGCATAATCGCTGCGCTGGCAGGGAATATTCGCCACCCTTCGAGAGGGTTCGGAAGAAATGCACATGCCACGCAATACATGCGACTGTGATTGGGCCGCACGGCAACATCCCCGTCACTGCTGTCACGATCGATGGTTCTAGACAAAACTGTGCGGTGGGAACCGAACCGCTGTTGTTTTTGTCTGAAACCATGCACGATCCCACGTGTTGCATGGTCGGTTGAATTCGCCTTATTGCAGGCTCCAATTTGGTACCGTATTCTCCCGGACATAACACCCTAGGGTATAGCTAAAAATACAAGGAAAAAATGGGGGGGTCTCCTCAGAGGACAAAAATACATAATACCCGGGTCTTATTATATTGCACATTTTTTTATAAGCTGAAATGAATGGAAACAAAAACAGGGGTCTGGCCTCACTATTATCTTTTTGTTCAGGGCCGCCAAACCGCGTTTACGATGATAACGTCGGCCTCCACTGGAATCTGCCTGTGACACCTGATTGGTTGATATCAGTGCCAACCTCGCGCAGCTTGGTTTCATGCAGTACGAGGCCGGAATCGCGCACGGTGCTGTGTTGTCACTGTACCTGTGACCCCTTGACTGCCGTGTACGGTAGTCACGTCCAGGCTTCCTCACAAGGGTTTGCTATTCTCTTCGTGAAGCGGTTCCAGTGCACGTCTTTCACAAGTGCTCGGCAGGCTGTGAGAGCGTCTCCTTCCTGTGCACGAGGTAGCGACTTTAAAGTCATTTCTCCCATGGCGAGTGACATCGACCTGCCTTAGTTCCCAAGTATGGCTTCATCTCCAGATTCTAGCAGTACGGTAGATAGGCGGCAGCGGGCTGTTTCCACCAATCAGACTAGCGCTGCTGCACGCGCACGGGCGTCTCCTCGTCCGATCTTGCCTCAGCCGGATGCTCCCGGTAGTGCTTCTACCAGGGATGAACCGAGCAGTAGCTCGGACCGTCCTCGCCCTACCCTTCCTCGAGTGGTTGTCCCCACGTTCCCGGAGCGTAACCGCTCGCAAGGGGGCGTGCTTGAGGAAGGCGGGGAGGCAGAAGAGCCCAGCGATGACGA